GCGATCAATGTGTTCTCTCCATAATCCGATTAGCATAGCTGATGTCTATCAACTCAGCACAACGCCTAAAATTAACCCATTTGTTCAAACCACATACATAATCTCTTAATACTATTTATTGAAACTTATGCTTTCAGTTAGGTATTACCACGATTCACTACTTGCCTAATGAAAACGCATAATGAATATTTTTTCGTATATTCGACTCAGCAAAATATATATTCTGTATGAACTATGAATTCAATAGTGCTCTGAGAGGGTAAAAACACGTGTCCGTACAATGCTGTATTATATAGGAGGCGATCATTATATACCACTGGTGTCAAGTTAACGCCAAACCTATTAAAACGAATATGATCCAAAATTGACTTAGTCGTAAGCTATATTTTTGCAAACTACTTCACTGCTCTTATAATATCATTAAAATTTTAACTCGTTTAGACGACTTCATACAATAATTAGTTGGATTAAAGAACCCCAGATAGGCTGTTCGGATAGACAGTTTCAGTTGTTCTCTAATTTCTTAAATTAAATAATAGTTAGAAGAGTCCATATATTTGTACACTGATTCAATTTCACTCGCGTACATTGCAATTATTCATGGTGATGTATTTTTTGTGTAATCAAGATGATCAAAGCCAGGTCGAGATATGATACTTAATTACCATACAGAAGTATAGTATAATTAATTGAATTAGTCGAGTTGGAGAATGATCACTGATAATAAAATTAAGCTCCAAACATTCGATAATGCTTGCATACTAAATGTATGTGCGGATTAAAGCATAATAAATGGGAAATCCGTGAGGACAAATAAACAACGAATATCACAGTTGAATAATAAAATATATTATGTATAGTATTATAACGTATGCTATACCAGTGTACGATTTTCTTAATACTAATATTATATATGTATGTACCAGTATAATACAATATAAATAAAAAAAATGGAATGTAATAAAAACTAATTAATTTACAAAGTACCTATTAAAATTAATAATCCGACCTATATATACACAATGCATCATGTACCAACACACATATATATTAACCTATATTTTATTATACCCAGAAGGAGAAAAGATGATTTTTTCGAGTTTCTAAATACCTGAACAGTTTTCGTGTACAAACAACCGTACAGTTGGTTCATTAGTAATTTGTCAAATACTATCTCCTCATTATTCTTTTATTATGACATTTAACTTAACATTATAAGAAAAAAATATTTAGAGATACTCGAAAACTAAAAGTAGAAAGTTTTTTTTTAACTGCAGAACCGTTTATCACATTATTATAACGCAGCTCTAAACACACTAAGAAAAACTTGAATTGTTAAACTTTTGTCGTCATGCTTTCCTGAACGGTAACCAAAGTTGAGGACTGCAAAAATATTGTAATGTACTCGTCAATTTTATGTATGACTACCATTTGAATGCTAAGTACTCACTACTCTGCTTTGACTTCATTCTACAACATGGACCTATTATACAATGACTGCTAATTGACCAGACTTTCTTGAACTATCGGAGTAGCTTTCAGAGCTTTTCGGGTGCGACCTCCAACCGCACTAGACGAGAGTGCAGTCGTAGTCGTGCCATTAAATAAAAAATGCAATCTATTCGAATTGGTTGTAAATGTTGAAAAAAAAATGTATACGTAGACGATTTTTCTAAATATATCGGTTGAACATTATTTACTATTCAGTTATGTCAGTTGAAAATGTAGATATTATACACTGTATAAGTATGTGAAGTAATTTATATCTATAACACCCACACGTGCACTTGTGATTATGTTATATAATAAAGTCGTAGAATGTCTTTTTTTTCATTAAATACAGAATAGATACACAATGTTGCAGTAAATTTGTTTCATATTCCATATTCAATATAATATTATTATACGTCTGAAATATTACGGAGTTCTGAGTTTTTTTTTTAAATATTCGTCTCCATTGTTAAAATCAACCACTTTCAATGCATCTCACATACTCTCCATACTGCCCCATCTCAATTACTCAAAACATGGCATAAAGAATATGATTTTACTTTTAAATTACAGTATACCGTCCTAATAAGCGCGTAAAAGATTAATTTCTGAGGTATACATTGCCTCGGGTTGTTAGCCTATAATTAGTTTTAAAATGTAATTAAATTTATCTTATGACCGAATTCATAATTATAATATGATGTAATATTCGTACTGATAAACAGCACACTCGTTAACATAAAATAAAACTATAATTTTAATCAATTTCGCGAAGTTGCTGTCACGATTTCATTGTTTAGAAAACAAACCATACCTATACGTCTGTATGAACGTGCGTGCTTTGAAGTTCAAATTAAGTGTCATTAGCAGTAGTTTCATTAAATCTATCCTAACCTACAATATGATAGGTATGATATGTTCTATTGAACAACACTACAATTAAAAAACTGATTCATTTTCGTTCAAATTATATATTTTTTTTTATACAATTCTTAGATTCCAAGACATCAATATAGTATAGTTATTATACTATAATATTACTACTATGTACTATATAGGTACTATAGTAGATCATATATGATTTAAATAGTTCACCTCACCTTCATCATAACAGATATTTTTTATAATAGAACTTTGCTGTTAATGACTTGAAGCGAAGATTATTTCATATGTTCGCAGTACAACAGCTGGTGACTAATTAGTAGAGTAAATAAAATATTATGCACCATACTTCAACAGATGTATGATATTAGTATGAACCAAAAATAGGACAATAATCAACTCAGTTTTAATTCAATAGTGACATTCAATTGATTATGTCCAAGACATGTATAAATAATTTAATGCCCACTAAACTATTTAAAGAGTGTGCTTAATTCTTTATTATCGTAAATACTTTTTATTTAAAAAAACGTTAGCAGCTATCGGCTTTGGTGAGGTGAATTCTTAATGTTAGTAGAAGGTAGAGCTGCTAGTGCAGTGTACCATCCTCGGTACGGAGATGACATGAGCTTGTCTGACTTTGTGAGACATCGACGAGCATAGATTGGGTGGATGGAAATCTGTGCTTATCCTTTGTTATTGATCAAGGTAGTTACCCTGAATTGTTATACATATTTACAAGATATATTACCTATTGGCAGTTAAGTTCATAATAATTTTGTTCCATATTATAATATATTATATTATTAAATCAAAAATAAAAATTAATTATCAACAATAATCATTTGTTGATTCCATTGACTGGTAGGCACAAAAAATAAAACAATGCAAACTAGAAAATGCTATAAACTGTAATCAATTAAAATACAGAACCACAGTTTTGAAAACGTTGCCGTGGTATTTTATCATATTTTGAAAAAGTTGAGAATGAAAACAAGATTTAGTGTAGGTACTCGTGTTATTTCGTCGTTATATTTTACTTGAAAACTTTAACTATATAATCGAATATTTTAATTATAGCCATGCACAGACTCATGGTTCCAGGAGTGGACATTAAAAATTAGTGCCAACAAGATTTTTGAAATCCAGGTACAGGCAATTTTTTTAATTTTATAACAGTTCTTAGGTAAACTTAGTTTTGTAGAAAATAAATACCTTTAATATTAGATTTTAAAATTAAGAACACCGTAACATACCGTGTTTTGAGAAATTATTCGAATTCTCAGCGAACGGCTCAAACGCAAACGATTCTTTTTTTCTAACCAACGCTTTTGTTATTATTCATATATGAATACATATTATAATTGTATACAAATTTTAGTATATTTCACTGAATCAACCAAGTCATGTATTATAATGGAGAATGCAGTATTTCCAAAACTAGTTTATCAGAAGATAATGTGGTTACTCTGGGTATCGAGTAATTTAATTAATGAGTATTTTGTATATTACAAAAGTTCATTTTCAGCGTTTTATACTCAGCTTGTATTATACAATTTAAGCTTATTTTAATATTTGCCTAGGTAATATAGTTCACAATTTATTTCAATCAACCGCTGCCAGTATTATTGAGCTGTGGAAAGGAAGTATAAAGGGTTGGTTACGGGGATTGGAGATAGGAGAACCTATATTAGTCGAACAGACTATTAATTATTAATCACGTCCGATTCAACATTATTCCGCCCATATCGCAGAGACAAGACTATATAAGCGCGCTCCTAGAAATGTTCAATAAGTTGCGTGTTTTACCTTTAAAACAACTTTAACTTTCAGACATTAATTTACATCCGTTCGGAAAGGTTCATTTGACCCGTAATTGTGTTTCAATCAAAAGTTTCTTTGGTGATTTTTTTTTTGAATCGATTATAAGAGTTCTTTTGACTAAGATAAATTATACAGAAAAAAACAGCGTCTCTCAAAATTGAATCTTTTTCGTTTTGTATTTTTTTAGTTTAAAACGGGATGTGCGTGCAAGGGACGTGTTTTTTTTGTAAGTGACATTTACGGCCCGACATTAGATAGACGATCTTCTCAGGGTTTTTTTTGTATACGCATTACGCACATCACATATAATAATTGCTTTTTATATGTATAATTTATTAGACAGGTGGTTGTTTTTAATCTTATCCCGTAAGGTTTGTAGAGCAAACATCTTACGAGAATAAATAAAATATTTTCAAAAAGAACACTTGTTATTTAAACTAATTCGATACGTATAATTCGCGTGATATTATAATATTACAATTTCGATCCAATAAAGATTATCAATTTTTTATTTCAGTAATATTTGATTAATTTAAAACAGTTTATTTATTTTTGACAATAATTATCTATTTAATACAATATTATTATTAATGAATTATGATTTTTTTACCACACCCTGGAATATTGTATTCATCATTTAGTATTCTATTTTTTCCTCTTACAAATCAACTTTAAAGCCTATAGATAATATTAAATATTTATAAAATAAGTCGCATAATATTGGAAACATTTATTATTTTAGAATGTTTTGAATTAAAATATTATTGCATTGATTGACTTAATTTTATCGACTTTATTGATGATTTATCTAATTACATTTTTATCACCTAGTCATTAGCACTACATTATTATTTTAATAGATAAATTATAAATTAGCATCAGTAAAACTTACTACTACTAGTAAAACATCTTGAGACTCAATACCAAACAAATTGAAATAAATTATAATAACATTAGTAAGTGTCGTACATCCACTAATATATCTTTCCTTGAAGACATCATAATTACTAGGGAACAAATTAGACATAAAATCTTCTTTCATATCAATCTAATAAAATACCCTAAAGGAATACCCTCATTTGTGTCCAATTCAATGATACCTAACAATTAATCACATTATATTACACTGCCTGAAATGTTCACAGTCGAGATTCATCCTAAACGACCTAAACAAAAATAGTATTCTGTGAACACAACACACATCAGATTCAACTCTTCTTCAAGGCAATTGAATACATTACCAAAATCTAAAATTTAAGATCCCATTAAAATAATTTTTAAGTGCCCAATATCGAGGCAAAATTAACCAAAATAATTCTGTGCACATAACGCTCACGAACAAACAAGGAATATGTACACTTAACAAATTTACCAACTCCTATATCTGATGACCCAGTCAGATATTTAGGATTGATTCTTGACAAAAAACTAACATATAATAAATATCTTCAAACCAAATGACAAACCTCAAATAATCGCATGTGTATGCTTAGACCTCTGTTAATTGGAAATAAATGCTCCACCTTAAACACCAAACTATTAATCTACATAGATCTACTCAAACATATCTGAAAGTACGGAATTCAACTATGGGGTGTGACAAAAATATGTACCGACATGTATTCTTCCTCTTACCACTAGTGGTACGCGTATCATAGTTTGAGAACCTCTGCTCTAACCCAACTTTTCATAATGATCTCCATATGAGAACAATGATAGAGGAAACACGCATTTTCTACACACGTTTCTATAAACGACTTCAAGCCCATAAAAGATCTCTTACTCTCTAAGAAATACTAAACGAAGGTTAAAAAGGAAGTGGTGCCATAACCTATTACAAAACATTAATGTCGAACGTAAATATATCTATGTAGTGGAAAAAAAACAAAAGCCCAGAGTCACTAATGGGTGACTGCTTAATCACACCTTTCATGTTATTTACTATTAACATAGAAACTAATTGTGCTAAATTCTATAGATTGTTTATGGATATTAAAAATAAAAATTTTCCTATTATTAAATTTTATTTTTTTTTTTTACTATTTTTAAGTGACTCTAGTTTTAACAATACTTTAAAGTATAACATAATTTAATACTGTAAACATAGGCTAATGACCAAGTTGTTGAAGCATTTATTTCTAAATGAAAAAAAAAATTATACATCACAGCATAGGTACGAAAAACAAAGTCATACTAAAATTTGATTTGATATTTTTGTTTTGTTATTTTTATCATGAATCTTATGTCATGTTTAAATGTGCTGAAAATATAATATACGTTTGTTTATTTCTAACGATAGACAGGTATGTTTAAAATGAATCAATTATTCAACCCTTTTATCTTATATCTGTATTGAATATTATACTATTTTATGCGACTTAATAAAATTTATGAAGTGTAGGTAGCTGCATCAGCCCCTCCATTCCTCGACCACAATATTACGCTGAATATTTTACCTCTATATTATTTTTTGTTCTAATTATTGCGCTCTTGATGTACAAATTTTCTTATTCTTAAAGGTACACATTATATTGTATTGTACTGTATTGTAGCGTGTCCCTCAAATAAATGTACTGAACTTCTAACGGTCATTTGGAAACCAGATAATACTTTCAAATTTACTCTGAGTGGAAAAAGGAATTTTAAATTGCAATTATGTTGCTCGATAAAATGATCTTGATTAGTTTGGTCTTCGCACAGTTTAATCAAATGAAAATAATTAAGAAAAAAATTATCATACAAAACCAGTTTTGCACGCTCATATTTTGTTATCTGTGTATACTGTATAATAACTGAGAAAAATATATGAATGTATATACTTAATGAAACTACGGAAATTACTGTAATTTTATTTGCACCATATATTTAGAAATAGCAAAGATGATAATAAGTGAAGAGTTTTTGTAATTCGTTTGTGTTAGTTGTGTTACTGGAGAAGGATTAACAACGGCAACTCGTATGACAGCTTTGGATGAAATTGAGATTGGCCAATTCGTAAGTAGAAATTAGAATTAAATAGAATTCAGTGATATTCAAACAAGAGTGTAATTAAAAACTACCCTCTCGCACAGTATAAATAGGTAGATTGTATCAACATGGTACCGAATTGTTAATTTAAAATTATCACAGTAACCAATCAATGAGTTTTCACGATAGAACTCTTAACTGAAATGTATATGTTTTGATGTTTTTTTTCATAATAATCTAAAAGACTAATGTTTATGCCACCGACAATATAGGTAGACCAACATGATTAGGTTAATTATTTTTCTTATTATCTATTTGTATTTCAACTGTCATGAATCAAATTAAATCACTTTAAAAACATTCTTGTATAGAAATATTAACCTGAACAAGAAATTTGTTGAGTCAGCTATTTATTTACAACTACTTCAAGCATTACCTGTAGTTGAGGTATTTGATTTAGATCGATATCTGACCTGGCCTCATCCAACAAATCTTCTACAAATCCAAAATATTTTCCATTTTTAATTACTGGCATTATGTACTTAATTCAATGATAAAATTACAGTAACACGGCGTTATGGATGTCTATTTACGTAGGTTATAGATTGTTATTTCAATTGTAAGTAGGTCATATTAATATCACTTATTTTGTTCAATTTATTGCATTTCAAGAGTACAATAAATATTAAATTAAGGTTAGTCTATTGTATTCATACTATTTTTAATGTTTCTATTCATTGACAATATTATTATAATACACACCACCCAGAAAAATGTGTCATAATATCTATGAAAAACGTATACTGATTCAATGAAAATCGGGTGTGGTTTTGAGCCATTTATGTTTGTTCATAAAAACATGAATTTAATAAAATTATAATAAATCCGTGGTATTTATAGCGTTTGATGAATTTAATTCCAAATTTCATAATAATAGATAACTTCATACCCAGTTTAACTCAATTGAAAAATTTAATTAACAAACTTACATACTAAACTCAATGACATTCTATTCACTAAAATAACACCTTTTTCACAGTTTCAAAAATGCTTTGCCTTTGATTTTACTTGTAAATATGTTTAAATGTTATCAATTGCATGTATTCTAACCATGAAAAATGTCATTGTTTTGAAGAAACAATTGTAGATTGCATAGACAATATAAAATCAATAGGCATGCTTTATAAGTATTTAGCCCTTTACTGTATTTCGATAAATTAAAATTAAAATAGTATCGTACTTACAATATCGTAACAACAAATTCTATGGCGTCTCTTAGCGCCCGTATCTGTTATTAGTTTTCGTTTTTTTTTTTTTAACAAGTGTTCAATGAAAATGATTTTTTACCAAAGATAGATCTAACAAGGTACTTAGAGTATTTGTAGAATCACAAAACGACCTTTAATGGTGCTACAATAACAACATTTTATTCGAAATTCTACGAGACACGTTGCAGTGTTTACTATAGATATTAAGTGTCGACGAGACTCAGGAGTAAAAAGAAACCTGTTGGAAACGTCTCTGAAAATAAACACACAACACTCTCGGAATTGGCCGGTCCTCCACGTCGTTGCACTGTTTACTGATACAGGGAATTTTGTTTTTATCATCATTATTTTCTCCCTTGTATCATCCGTTTGTCATGTATGACCATTGCGTCGATGTCTCTTTTATGACGTCAATTGCAACGTCTTGCAAGACGGTTTCGAGAGAATCCTTTTCGAAAACCTAACTTGGTTGTCAACCGCTATCCTCGTTTATACGCAAACGAACGTAGGCGTAATCGACCACTGTGTCACGTATTTTATAAGTGGCGCGATGTGCACGATTTTAATGATTAGCATAATGCGCGCGATGATTGATGGTTAATATTATGGTTTTCGCCTCGATACTATCGGTGCGGGTGTTGGCGAGTGACTGCCATTGTGACGGTGAGGGGGGGGAGTAGTGGGGCCTAATAAACGACGAAATACTAAGTACGCTTCACCGTATGGTTATTATATAAGTTATTCTATATAAAAGGATGTCTTGTGATGTTCAAAACCTTAATATTATCTGTACACGTTTCGAACGGCTGAGATTTGATTTGATTTGAATTTTTTTTTTTGAAACCCTACAACCGTATATTAAAATTGTATACTGCACGTCATTCAGCCACGGCCCCAAACTTCATGTCCAATATAATATAGGTACATGCGACAGGTGACAGGTATGAACGCGCTCAGCGACTAGGTTGTATAACTGTATACAGAGTGATTCACCGAGCACCAAGCATGCTCAACTCCCCCCCCCCTATTTTATCCCACGACAAATGATTTATTCAAAATTCTGAGTTTTGGAATTTTTCAGTTTACTCGAGGACGATATTATATTATTATCAAACATTCTGGTTGTTTGAGAAGTTCTGTGGGGATACCATGTTTTTGCAAATGATAATCATTCTATTCATTTCTTGTCAACTATTAGACAAATATTACTTTTTTGAACATTTAGAATGTGTAAAATGTATCTAAACCGAAATCGTTTATAAGCATCGTTTTTTATATCGTTTTAAAGTCTTACAACATTATGTACGAAGGATGATAAGTCTATTTTAGTAGGTATGGAAAATATGGCCGGGACTTACTCGCATGATGACTTTGATGTCTTGAAAACTATAGTTACTTAAAACATTTTATAATTTGTAAACATTGTCTAATAATAAAACGTATTACATAGATTTAATATTGGCTGTATCTAGATACCTAGGTGCCTGTGTAGATAATGCGTATCCATCCGTGGATACATTAAATACCCGACCAGTTAATAAGCATGCATTGATATTATAGTAAAAAACCGAAAATATTCCTCGAATTTCTATGCAACATCACCAACAGTAGGTCATAGGGTCTATAATTTTCTCTTATCACTCTCAAGCACCTGAGTATCTATAGGCACAGTGTTTAAATATTTCTTCTACATTATGTTTTTATAAGACCGCTTTCAATGATTATAATAATAGGTCCATGATAATGTGCTTGGAAATTTAGATTATATGGGGTCTACTTGGTTTTGAAAATATTAGTGATTAATATTAATCTATCAATATTTATAATTCATATAAATGACCCAAGTATAATAAATAGGTACACACTAGATAGAATGTACATATATTTTGTAATTTTTTAAAACCGTTTTTAACTATTATCCTATTTTTTTTACTATTATACTATTAGTAAATACTAATTATATACTTATATTTTATACCTTTTTGAATTGAACATTTTTTTTTTTTAATTGGGTACATCACAATACTCAAAATCACTATCCACTTTATAATTTACAGTAAAAAAGGGGAGTACACATTTGAAAAACAAAAGTTTGTGTCACCACAGGACACTCCTTAAGTATTACAAAACATTCTATAATTAGAATAAATGTATTATGAAAAAATGAGACTGTTCATGCTTGGTGAATCACTCTATTTATACATTTTAAAAATTCGAAGATAAAAATAAAAATCTACTACAGATAACTCGCGATTATAAAAAAAACATTATGAACAAACCCAAAAATTATGCTCTAAACCTTAGTTGTGTGTCTTAAGTAAACATCACTAATTCTTATTTTTAATTACAGGTTGAATTCAATCCACTGACAGCAATTTTGTATACTATTGATTTTTTTCTACTAATTTTAAACGTAAGTATTTTGTACTTATAATTGATTTATCAATATCAATTATCTTGCTTTTGTAGTATATTATTATGCCTCAATAAATATAAATAAGACAAATTTATACCATTTAATTAATGCAAAAAGATTATAAGTTAACTCATAAAAAATTAGATGTGAATTATTGGAATTAATATAAGTATTGAGTAAACATACTTGAAATTATAAGTTTGTAAGGAGTGGTTTAACTTATTGGCAGTAAAAGATCAATCAAACATTTTTATGAAACATTTTAAGTGTTTTAATATTTTAATTTAATTTTTAAATTTCTCAATCATTCTTGAAAGTTACGAAAATATGTTCAATAATATAATTTACGAGTAAACACCAAACAATAATATTTTTATCATAATTTTTGATTGAAGCATTCAATAAAAAATCATTTTCCAGAAATAATTTTACAGTTTATATCGAGTTCAGATTTAAGTAAATTATTGTAGACCTAACTCTTGTGGCAATGGAGGTGGTCGACACAAGTATTGAGTGTCTAGTACGTAAACATATTATTTAATCGGATGTATTTTTGAATGTGAATTATTGTTATGCGTATCTTCTGCCTTCTTTATATAATTTGCATATTTTCTGAATACTAAGACTTGTGTAAATCCATTTCTATCAGAAAAATCTATCACTGGTCTACATTTAATATCAACACGATTTTATGTTTCATTTTCAGAAAATTTCTTCACTCTAGTGCACACGTATTTTTAATAAGTCCAAAAATGTCTTTATTTCTTATTTTCATTTATTTTCAATGCCATCAAACACTGTACTTTATTCCAATCCGTTATTTCACGTCTTACTTTCTACGTATAAATATTTAAATTAGAAAAGTTGACGCATATAGTTTACCTCCCTCTGTGTAAACAACTGTTATTTAGATTATGTTGAGTGTTGACTTAAATGTAACCAAGCAAATCACGTCGCATTTTATGTACACGTCTTCACGATGTTCAACACGTTTATCCATGTGTTTTTGATATTATTGGTTCTCGTTAACTACACAAAAGCCCGAAATAATTAAAATGTATTATTATGCCATGGCTATATTTGAAAATTGTAGACATATTAGTTTATTTATAATAATCATCATGATCAATGGCGTACTTAGAATGGTCGATGAGATGGGTAACAATACGTATTATTTGCATACAATTTTATGAAATGGTTATAATTTTAAACCCACTCAGACAGTCGGATGCCCTTGAGTAATCTCTGGATAAATCATACCGCTCCGCCCCCCCCCCATCCCCCAACACACACACACACACACCACCATTGATGCAAAATCTTAAATTGTCCACTGTAATAATTAAAAATGTTTAAGTAAATATCAATAGACTGGTAACACCAAGCATTCAATGGACATGATATTTGATATGTATATAATAATAATAAAGCAATAGTTGTCTTTTAAATATTAAAGGTATGCAAATATTTTGCACAAAACTTGGAATTTTTCGGTTTGAAATTGATTTTTTCTTTAAAAAAAAAACTGATATCCTAGTTCTGAAAACTACAGAATAAAATTTCAGATCTTAGAAGTTCAATTTTTTTCAAAGTTAATAAAATTCAAGAAGGTACACAAACTACATATTTAAAATGATAAGATCAAATAATAATTTTATCCGACTGGTTAAAAAAACTTTATATAAGTATACTCAGTTTCTTTAAAAAAATTCAAAACAAGTATTTAAAAAACTGGATTGGCAGGCATTGTGGTGCTAATGCAACATAGTTTGGCACAGCCAAATCTCAATTGTCTTTATCAAAATAGATTTTATTTAAAACAAATAGCATATATTTTTAAAAGTAACCTATGCAGATGACCAACTTTTTAGTCATTAATGTCAATATTGCTTGCTTACTAAACATCCAAGAGATGATAACATAATTTTGTGAATATTTTATATAGTAACAGTTAATACTTATAGTAAAATATATTTTATATTATTTTAATAGTAAAACATATTTTAACTTAAAATTATTTTCCGATTTCCGTTGAAAATAATACAGCGGCTCTTTTAAAAAACACATTTAACAAATATTTATAATAACTGTTTTAATTACTTTTATGAACAATAATGTAAAGTAATTTTTTTTCATTGAATAACAACAAAATAAGAAAATCGTTGTTTAAGAATTTGTTTTTTTTACGGGTGATTTTCCAATGTCTAACATATAACCCTCATAAAAAATTAATTTGACTTTCTGGTAAACTTTTGTTTGTTGTTAAACTAAGGAAAACTTAAGGATAATCTTGTATTACATTTTAAAATCTGAGTTGTAAAAAAAAATTGTTTATGCATTTCCAACTCAAAATAGTATGCAAATTTTCTATCTATCAAAATTTATATTCATACGCTTATATATTATAATTATTGTGATATCAAGATATTTTCTTACCATAAAATATGCTGTTGAAGAAAAACGAAGAATTTTTACTGTTCCAAAAAGTGATTACAGACAAATTATTTGTTAAATCAATACATTCATCGCTCCGCTCAGAATCTAAAACAGTTTACATTAGCCATATTATCAAGGAAGTAAAATATTATAATAATTACATTTATAATTCACACGGATTTAAGTTCAAAAACAACGGTTTCCGTCATAATATAAGCGTTCTCATTTGTCTATAGCGTCTTGTTTTTATTAATACAAAATAAGTGTAAATCTGTTCTATAATTATTATTAACTGAAATAGAAGGCAACTCTTAAAAATCAGACTTAATATCGGATATCTCGAACTCCTAATCTTTCTTGAACTAGGTATGTTCAAAGAAATGGGCAGCTTAGCAGCTTGTCAACAGTTTACTAAAAGGTATAGGATTTATAAGATTTATTACATTTTCGAATTAATTAAACATTTTTAATTGGCGATTAGTTACAACATAAATATTAAAATATAAAAGCCTTCGCGAAATAACTTTTCAAAATTTTGGTTTCTCCCACATTTCAATAATTATAAATTAATTTTACTTTCATTTCAAAATTATACATACTTAAATATACATACATAGGTTAAATGTAACCTACTTTACCATAATATACCTAATATATTTTAACTTATATAATATATTATGTTATGAAAAAGTATTTAAAATTTAAAATATATAATTTTTTTGAATTAAAATGTATAATTGTAGACATACCCAAATTGTGTTATTGAAAATTGTATCGTCTGTTACTCAAAGTATGTTTATTTAATGACAAAGTAAGTTCAATTAAGATTCATGTACAATGTACAAAACAGATTTGATTTACCTGATATCAATAAAAAGTTGCAATATTAACTAAATCCGGTATTTATAGTCATAATACTATATGGGATCTAAATGTTCTATGTATGTAGGTAATAAACAACAGCTAAGATGATTTGATTTTATGTACCCTCGGCGGCGGCTACGTGTCGGTACTGAACCGAATAAAATATTTAATTGAACTGTCGAAACATTTGCAACGGCCACGGGAAACTGTTATTGTTTAGTACTTAAATGTTCTATCTGAAATTATAATTATGCAAGGAGAGACAGAAAGGTCGGATCTTTTTGTGTCCAACCACTATCTATATCATGATATAATAATATTACGTATATTGGTAGGTGTGTGCATAATATACCTATGCACTCAGTCGTAAATAAACGATGAACCTTAAAATATCTACCGTAGTGTAGGACGTAGGTGTCGGTTGAGATTGTATTACTGGTGCATTTGTGCGGAGAAAATTAATAAAACCGTACGAAAATCACCCCACACATTCATTATCCGTTTCACTCGCTTATTTGATTCTATGCACATTTTGTAATCAATATACGTATCTGATAATATCTTCTCCTAAATCAGAGTTTAGGTGATACAGTTGAGATCAAATGACTTTGTCATGGGAAGGATGTGGCTAATTTTTAACATAATATTAATTGATCGTTTAAAATATAATTTATGGTTACCGTTTGACACCAAGATATAAGTTACCTGTTATACATATTAAAAAACTCATGAGTAGGGGTCATATACAACACGTTTTACTAATACTGAGGTGCTATTATGCTATATGCTCGCAATAATAGCGTTGCCTCAGGCAACTTGCCTGCATCATTTTATAGAAGCGCTATCCTGACATCGAAGATCCCACTAAAAGAGTGGGGAAGGGTTTTTTTTTTTTAATAATCATAAATAAAAAAGGAACTTTTGACGTTGAGCTGTTTAAGTAATGGCAAGTGTCCTGTTTCACCCCCTTTCTCCCTAGATCCAGAACTGATTGTTATACACAATACTATAGCCACATTATAAATCTAAGTTAACTGCTGGGAAAACTTTTTTTACGTATGAAAATATTATGATGTGACTGTAAGGAGTAAATATTTAATAGAACGTGACTTATTTTATTTCCTATAATTTACCATCATTTTTGGAACCATATCAATCTTAATATTACTATTCTATATGGCAATTACTAATTAGTAGCGATTATTCATCCCAAATACGTTATCGATGTGTTGCACGGCTCAGAAATCGAGAAAAATGTGTATGCTTTTATAGATGATATTCAATAAATTGTACAGTTGTTAAAATATAAGGCATATTTAGTAAGAATTTCATATTTATCGAGATTCTATGCTGTAAGTAAATTCTATTGTTATTGTTGTGACTTAGAAGTTGGATGGGAGTGTGATGGCTATACAACTCCATGGTAATAATTTCCAGTAAGTTTTTTCATATCACCCTCCATTAAAAGTAGGTGCAGAAAACGCCACCGTTACCGATATAATCCTTAAAATTGTTCGCGGAACCGTACTTCCGACTGAAGCTGTTTTTATAATGTAGTTTTTTTTTGTAGCATTTTTTTTGTATTCACGGAAACTATTTTATACGCGACCAAAGCATAATAATATTATCGATCTAATTATGAATATTTTATTTATATATGTATTTATTGTACGCGAAATTGTTGGGGCATGTGTTTTCCACTCGGGAGAGTTTATTCTGAAAGAAAAAAAATCATTGTGGTAAAATATTATTATGTACACGCGTACCTATATAATACATAAAAAAAATATTATTATAAACCAATAGCTTTCCACCCTCGTAGAATTTAAAAATAATAATAAAACCACAACGAAGGCACACGTTGAGTTTCTCACAACGGTGTCGAGCCAAGACACACACACACACACACACAATTCCGATGATTCCCCGAGCTCGTCTTTGCGTCAACCAACACCACCCACCCACGCCATTCACCAACCCAGCGATAGTTGAAAATTACCACTCGGTACGCAACATCCTTCGTGCATAATATTTAATGGGCTCCGCACACTGAGGTAGTGCTCGAGCGGTATAATATCGGAGTTAACCACGGGTTACCGTATATACCTATATTATAGTACGTACAATGTAATAACGCAGTTACGATACATATTTTCACGTATCCAACATGTATGTATAATGTATATATTACGATAGTGAATAGTAATCCGTCTTCCGATCGTTATTTACGACGACGATGACGGCGCGTAGGTATATAATATACTCGATCGACCGGAACAAATAACTGTAAATAATATCGAAGCACCGAACTGTTAATATAATACGTGTACGTTATAAAGATGATCTGACAAAACCACTAGGATGACATTCCAACCAGTAACAAACTAAGGAACTTCACGTCAAAAAAACAGTTGTAAAATGGACATACCCTAAAAATGTATCTAAAAAAGAACAGATAATAATCAACGGAGCTAGAATAAGCCACTTCAATATTACCAACTCCTACTTAATCACTAAGGAACCTAGACCAATGTGGACTCGTGCAATACCCTCCTTACAATCGAACACATAATAATCAACTGCCCCTAATTCGCATCTGCACGTCATCTCCCCAAAAATGGTACATCACTCGAAGAAGCCCTTAATGAAACCAACATCGCCAATATTTTCAATTTTTTTAAATTAATTGTTTCAGATGATAAAATATAATACTACTGCATATAAGTCAATAACATATGTTTCTTTATCTCTTTGTTAATATTGTATAAATACTTTTAGTTTGTAAATAACACTGGACTAATAATCTTTGTAATTGAAGCCTTTAATCAAATAATTTTAAAAAAAGATGATCTGTTTTAATTTGGGTACTATTCTTAATTTTAAGAAGTTCGTATTTTTACGCAACTATTTAGGCAGGTAGGTAAATACCTATTATAGCTTAAAATATTGTTAGATATTCCTCCCGACATTACCTTGGCCAAAAATTTGTATTCTCGATAAATATGTTTGTAAAAAAAAATATGAACCTCGTTTTGGTGCTTATGTCTTCTACTGGTTTTATCCGATGGCAACAATATAATATTAAAATATAAGATCGTAGGTAATATCGTTTACAATAATATTATAATTTTGTAATACATATTTTTAATAGGTATATAATTTTATTTTATAGCTGTATGCGATACTATGTGTGATATCGCAATATCAAGAACTAATGGCGGGCAGAGGTACTGCACGTTTTGAACAAACCTTGAAGGTAACATTCAAAGCATATTAACTGTAAAAGTTTATAATTACTTTTAAATGTTAGAAACATTAAAATAAAATTTGATAGTGTTTTAAATATAATAGTATATAGATTATAGTTGTACACATATTATATCGTTTATTCGTATGGTTTAAATACGTTTCGAACGAATATTATGGGGAAACTTTTATCCCTTAAAAACTTATCAGCACAAAGTTGAATATTTTTAATCGTTTAATTACATTCCATAATAGTACCTATACCGATGGTGAAATAAGTATAAATCCCACATTGCAATTTTAAAATGTTAAATATAGGTACATTAACTTTTTGTTATGTTATACAAATTGCATAAACTATTTAAGAATTTATTTTGTTGTTTCAGTTGAAATGTATTTATTGCCATGCATAATGCATACCTCTATACATGCCACTTCATTTCTTTTCTAATTTAATGTATTTTATTGCGTCACGATTTATCTTTATTTTAGTGCTTGGACGAGCATATACAAATCGTGGTATCACAATAAAATGTAATTTTTATTGGATTTCACTTAACTTAAAGAAGATAATAATATGTTTTTTGGTTGTATTTCCAATACACATTTACCTAATTCTCTATTCATACCAACTTTTGAATTTTAATAATCAAACGAAACTTTCAGAGATCGTTTGTGATTTAAAGCCATGTATTATTTTGCATCATAATTATATTACGAATTGTATTTTATTCAATACTTTTTCTTCAGTAGGTGTACTTAGCATATTTTAATCCCTTCGGAATAACAAAAAATAATACGTTTTTAAAATATCATTTGAAATTATAATCATACATATTAAGTCCAAGTTTTTGCACACTTAAAAATGTATCAGTTATTGTATGTACATTTTTTTTTTATAAAATTGTAGAGGAATTTTGATTTAACCACTACCTTCTCCCATCTGAGAGACTGTTTACATTTTTGAATCAACCCAAGGAAAATTTTAGAACACATCTCTGTCCAATGACCATACATTCACTTTAAACTTTTTCCCGAACAGAAAGTAATTCTCAATATAAATCGATACCTATCTAGCTTTATTACACCACAAAAACTCCAAAGCAGAGATATATGGATTATTATACCATGAAAATCAAAAGTTAATATTATTACTTCCACAAATGAAATACATTTTGAATAATACGAAAAATTGTATGATAATGGTTTTCTTTACATAACATGCAAAAATTGCAAAACCATAATAAATATCGAGTTATGTTTAATTTAAACGTTCACTGTTATTGTATTTGAATTTCAGTGTATTAATAATCTGTTTCTTTGTGTGTTCGTACAAAGTATACATTTGTAGAAGCAAACATGCCATTATAGGTTTGCGGCAATAGTCTGTTGTTTATTCAGAAAAACGATTAGTATTGAAACAACGTCCCTCTTTAACGCGTCACTGTAAACTTTTACCTACGTAATAATAATTGTGCTTCGAGAAAAGGCACGTTCGTACTGCACGGCAAGTAGGTAATGACTGTCGGCCAGTGTATATAGGTTCCAGTGTAGATAGGTACACAACATTTCGCATACGTACACAAATATCAAACTCATCCACATTGTGATAAGCTCGGCGATTGAATACATTTTACACAAAAATTCGATATTTTTAATTTTATTTCAAAACTTTTACACAACAACTTTACTGTAGTTCACATATTCTTATGAATATTCTATTAGATATTTGTATAAGTGTCATAATTGCAAAACAACAATAAGCAATTGAAAATTGAAATAATATTATGCTTTATTTATTAAATGAACAATGCTATGATCATTCAAAAGTCTAAGTATTATTATAAAGTCATTACATTTTGTCACCGTGGTATACTTTGGTGAGGCTTACTAATTGGTCTATTCAAATTATCTTTTTTAAGAAAATATTCAGATTTTCAAACGTACTTTTTAAAGCTCTAAATAACTGTTTTTGTTTGTTGTTTTAAAACTATTAAAAACAATAATAATTTAGTTTATTGTTTAGAACTTTAAGGACATAAGTACTTTTTTGAGCTTTTTGGGCCATTACATTCTCAGTCATATTAGTCATCCGAGTAGTGGCTCAAATCCCCGAGAACCTGGAGGCACTTGTCTACTCCCATAATATTATTTGCGGCACTGCGTCAGAGTTATAATACAGTTTAGTATAAAATGTATTACTAAATAACTTAGTTGTAATTGTATTATTTATACACCGCGTGACGTTAATTAAAAGTTAATTCGTCGTTAATAGCTTTACTTCATGATTAATAGTGCATTAAGAAAAGAAGACGATTATTTGACACTTGGGTGTATAGAAAAATGAATAAAAACTGCAGTTGTGCACGAGCGATCATACCATTATTACATTTCAAGGAGTTATGATAACTGCCATGTAAACTGTTATTTAAGGGTTTTTCAAATGATTTCAGGTGTGGTTTTTGTAGCCATGACCTATGACATAATCCTAACTTTGTGTTTTTATATGTATATTTTTTTCAACTAGATAATAATAAATTGAATGTGTAATATATAGATATCACCGGTGAGATACACGTGCCAGCCGACGGGCACCAGTTGCCTGAGTTCGAGGCGACCGGCTACACTTCCGGCGTCGCCGACGCAGAGTCCCACAAAGACTACGGTGACCGCGACCACGGGTTCGGTGGTGTTGGCTGCAGGCGGGACGTCCTCTGGCTCACGCAGGGGTTCCAGGAAACACGTTCAGTTCCCGGATTTCGACGCTCCCAACCTTAAGTCCACAGACCTGTTGCATGCCAACTGGAAACAAGGATCATCGCCACCACCAGAACAGAGCACCGTGACGACTGCAGGTTATACACCCTCCGGTGCAACTCCTCTGCTTATTGAGTTATTCTCGACTAAAATTGGGTTTTTTAAATATTATAGTTTCTTTTATTGTAGTATTGTTTCGAATATAAAATCGCAGTGTACAGGCAATATGATAACGGTAATATACCTGTTATCACAGGTGATGATATACATTTTAACAATTTCCACGATGACTTTGAAATATCAGTGCATAATGCATTATTGCAAATCTTTTCGAAATACAAAATTGTATGAGCGCATTACTGCGAAAACTAGTTGTACCTAACGGTGCTGCTGCTGGTATTCATTCAGAGATATTATTTTAAAACTATAAGTAGGGCGTTATGTAAGTTATGTATGCATAAGCGCGAAATGCATTGTTAGTTAGATAAAATGATTGTGCAAGTGCTTAATCATAATAGTAAAATATTATTTTATGTTTTAAATATTATAATATTATATTATGTACCAATACATTATTATATCACACCATGCACAGCATACATGCGCTCACTTACAAATGAAAACAATCACAGAAACAGCCATAGATATTCCTCTCGTTACCATACGTGTTAAGCAATCACCCAAATATCCTCGGAAAAAACAAGTCTCATCCGGAAATCTCTGATAATTCTCCATCACAAGCCATAGGTTAAAAATTAACTTGTGAGTGATCTATACTTTTGCATAAAACTCATTATTTTAATACAATCTAATAGAAGGTTGTACGCGTGGTCGAATTCTTCAAATCAAGTTTTTCAAATGTCTAATTTTTTTTTAAAAATATCACTCACGCCAATAATTATGTAAATCAGTTAAAAAATAAAATATTGAATGCTTAACATTGTAGATAAAAATAAATCTTATTCGTACACGATTATCGTTATTTATAGATACCTCCATTGAAATTGTGGCAACCATTTTTTACTACAAACAATGAAATTATGAAAAATGTTGCTTCACATAATAGCTGGTATTGTAGTATTATATTATTTTGAAATTAAACGCTAAAAGTAAAAAAAAAAACCACTACGATGAAAACAAGAATTTTTGCAAAAAACAGCATTATATTTAAAAAACACGACGTTATTGCTTGGATGATGATGTGTGTATAGTTACTGGATTTAAGATCATTATTCAGCAATGTATTACTATATGTACACTTTAAAAATGCTGGTAGAATTAAGTACTTTCATTGAGCGTTCTATGACTCAGAGGAATAAAAATCAGACAATTAATTAAACTAATTAAATATTCAAGCTGAATTCAGCTGCTATATGTAGATCTCGCATTTTTAGCAGCCGACTTTAGATCTCATACTGAATACATTATACGCTTGTAAATGCTTCAAGTATTCCGTGTACGCATTTTAACCTTAATATACGTAAAAAGGAATTCGGGTATTCTTTTTTTAACTAACAGAAAACTGCCACGCTTATATGCTCGATTCCACGGTAATAATACATTATTATTGTGCAGTTGTGCACACAGAGAGGTAGCTCGCATTTGTTGTGTACCTCGGTGACTGCACACACTTTTTTGTAATCACGATATTTGTTCTCCTTTCATCCGTCGTTATTGCTTTATAGCGTAGTATTATTACGGGTTGACCCATTTGAAGTAAGACCTCGTCGTTATAGTTCATACGTCACCAACGTTTTTCAAAAATTGATACTTTGTGCCATAATCGAAAAAACGATGTGACTGTTGATGATCATAAATTCATCGTTCAATAGACATCATTATAAACACCTACAAGTTCTGACAAATTTAGCCAATTACATCTATAGGTAAAAGTAGGTTTAGATATAGGCGATTCATTAAAGTCCATAACGAACACAACCAGACTCCTGTCTCCTAAGCAATGAGGTGAAGAAAATAGATCTTTAGATTAACGACGATAGAACAAAAATAATAGAATTGATCTTAAGTGAGGCAGGAACAGTTAATGTATGAAAATTTTGAAGACCTAGGTGCAACTCTAAAGCCGCATTTACAACTATACGTCATGTCCGTGTGTCATGTCGTGTCGATCAAATCGCATTGTGATTGGAAGTTAATTTCCTGGTATCATATAATAAACAAGTTGCAACCGAGTATACCAAGAATGCTGTACTCAACTTTTAAACATTATGGTTGCTAGTTCCCATAGTTACCACATTCTCGCACGACAGGATATATCCGACATAGCTGTGAATCCGGTTTAAATATGAAAAATGACAGGATCAAGAAGATAGGCATCCGTATAAATAAGACTGAAAAAACGTTTTTTACTTAAGAAAATTCTTTAGATCCAAATCCTTTTCCAGAAGGACAAAAGTAAGACTATACCTACTAGGGAGATAATATTATGAGCGTAAAACAGATAAGTTAATAGTAGAATAGAAACCACTTGCAAGAGACCTAGTTAAATACCTAGGAAGAAATGGATCGATGTAGTCGAAGGAGACCAAAGAAAGATAGGAATATACGCTGAGAGAAATGGTGCATGACGAGTATATGTGGCACTCGAGCTCTTAGAGATTTGCAAAAGTCACAAGAAGAAGAAGGTAGAAGTAGTTATTTACGCGCATACCAGCATATACTATTATAGACTGCATGTGTGTATATCAGTTTGGTACTGACAGGAATCGACGAATGATGGCTAAACTGACCTGGTATATAGAGTGTTTATCATTATCTTGAAAATATTTCAATTTTGGCTCACTTGGCCGATGAGTGTATATTTTTATCCTAACGATAAATTGATGGCAATCAATTCAAGAGAACCCTGACGCCCCGTTCACAATATTTACCCACATCGCGTTGTAGCGGGATCGCCAACGATTTACCCTGACAAATAAACGAGGGTGATTTATTATTATTTTACACCGAAAATATTGGCGAAGCCCAATTTGGCTAAGACCATCGACTTCAAGAGCGGGTGTATTTATATTGGTGAACTTTTATAGCATCCGTCATGGCTTGTGTGTAATCGATGCGAAAAAATGCTTAGTATTATGTAATACACTTACATGATATCATATCTATTTTTTACTCGTGCGTGATCTTCTACTCACACGTTCACACAAAATGGAGTGATGGTTAAGACTTACGCTTGGTAGGAAAATAAATAGAAATGCATTTCGGTTCTTTCCTGACTTATACCATTATTCTCTATACTATATGTTCTCTAACCGAATTTGATACGTAGTCTTGGGTTTTAAATCCCACAGCACGTGTATTTTTCTATTTTCTAACTTTTGATACGATATTGCTAAGACATGACCCGCAAAGCCGCAGGTTGTGTCTTGCGTGAAATAATATCATTATCACGCCTTTGTACTCGAAATGTGATTGGTTTCTGAATTTTGTTTTGATTTTTTTGTTAAACTCCAGTCATAACTGACTTATATTTATAAGCGTTATGATTATAGCGTTATTATATTATATCGTTTACTTTTATTTCAGAATTATCGAGTCAACAGCTACTGATCTCCGACAACCAGTCAAGCAATTTACAAGCCGAACTGCTGCAGATATCCATGCAAGATTGTCCAAAAAAATTTACAGCCGATATCTAGACGAGTTTCAGAAGCACATTTTTTCATGGTGTCGCACATCCAATATAGCCTTATTATATAATTTAATATACCTACAATAATATAAGTTATGTAATGTTTTCTTTGATATAAAACTTTTATTGTGTGAAAAACATTATTTTAATTGTACTATTATCATACTAATGTTATTTTAATATGTCATTTGTAAAATATTTGTTTGACCAATTTAATGTAATACAAATTATAATAAAAATGAGTATTATTAAAATATTGACAGGGCTATAAAAGTATTATTACAATAGTTCATCCCTGGCCGGTGTCGTACTATCATTACAAACAACACAATATTATAATTAGGATTAGGAAGTTTATAACAGTAAAAACTCAAAAAATAGGTACATGCAAATATGCTAGCATAAATATTAAAATATGACATTTATAAATACGTTAACTTGTTTACAATTATTATACAAATGTGAAAAAAATTGATTTAGAATATTTTAGATTATAAACATTTTTATTTTTTAAATTTGAAAAAAAAATGTTCGTTGTAATTTTACTCAGTTTTTATTTAAATATGCACTTATTCCTCAAAACCTCTAAATAGTATGCAAAATAAAATGTAATGTATCTGATTGTATGCCATATAAAACGAATTGATAACTTGATCTACAATATACACGAATAAAAAAAAATGAAAAAGTCATAAACACCCTAACCCTAGTTAATAATTATTATATGGTGTTTAGTGACACTAAGCAGCAATCTGCGAGAACACAAATTGTGGTAGGTCACATGGTGATTTAAATATTCTCCAATCAAACAAGACAGTATAACATATTTTAAGAACCAGCTTTTATTTATTTTTTATTATATTTACTATTTTATACACATAATGCAACGACGAAAAAACTATAACTTATTACATGATGTCCGAAAGGCGAAAAATGTAGTCTCAGCAGCTATGTACTTAATTTGCATAACCAAAACGCCGTGTGGCCAATAAGATCAGTTATAAAGTTGGTAAAATACTTCTATAATAATATCATTATAATGTAATACAATCAATAATTCACAAGACATAAAAATGTTTCTTTAAGAAAAAAGCTTTAAAAGCTCTTTCTTAGGTTAGTAATTTACATTTCACTTCATAATGATTAATGAAGATTGTTTTTGGAAAAATCAAATCATTTTCAGATTATAAAAACCTTTAAACCTATAACATAGTCTAGCTTAGGTTTATAATGATGATCAATAGATCATAATGACTTACATAAAAATGATCTCCAACCCTAGGGACAAAAATAAGGGTTGATAATCAAAAAACCTCAGGTGGTAGTATTAATTATATTTTAACCATGTAGAGTCGAAGATTTTACATTTTCCCAAAATGTGTAGATACTTCTGAACCCCATAGAATTCACGGAAAATCGTTTTTCAATCGGTTCATCGGGCTGTAATATTAAGTGGTATATAATATGTATAACTGCATAAGATGGGGACATGAGGCGTACTGTATAATTAATAATACAAATCAAAATCACAGTTCTTATTGTTAATACTATAGTATTATACTCGTAACATACAGGTGGTATAAGTTATGTCGTTGCAGTTATAGAGATGGATGATTCCCGGGATCTTTATCTGACAGGAATTCACAAGAACCATAAAAAATTGCGCAAGCAAATTGTTATAGTCTATTCACCATATGGCTAAATATGATGTGTTCCATTTAAGTTTTCATGATTTTTGCTACACCTTATAACGAATGACAATTTGAAATAAAATTTATTAAACATTAAACAACCTTTTGCATAATATTATGATACTTCTAAAAATTATTAATCATCATTATTTAAACATATTGTAAACAACAACCTTAGTTATAATTATTGTAATAATTATTAATTATTGGTTTTAGTATTTCAATTAGTTAAAATACATAAAAATATAAATACATATTTATTTTTGTTATAGTATTTTTCTTCGGGAAATCAAATTTGAAAATAATATCTGTAATTTTTGCGATTGACCCATCCCCGTAAATAACTTAAAAATAATTTTTACACCCACCAACAGATTTCAAACTTCGAACTTAAAAATAGTATTTTCAGAATATTTATATACAATATACATATATGTAAAACTGGTTTTTTAATCAAATTAGTATTACAAAATAAATTGACCATGTCAAAACCTATAGAAGTTAAATTATCAATACATTTTATGTTTTTCTAAGTTTTCTAGCCCAGGGAGTTTATAGAAACCACTGCTCAAAATTGTATATCCATTAGTTATTATAATAATATATTATGTTTTACAATAAATATTTACATATTTAAATTTTAAGAACATTTACCAGTTGTTCAATATTTAAGAAACACTTAATTCAACATTAAAACTTGCTGCCCTAATTTAAAAAGTACATTTATCAATTGCTTAAAATGTATATTTAATTTGGCTTAGTGTTTTAAGTATCATTAATTCCAAACATTGTATCGTACACTCTTTACAGATGTTTCCACCGTGAAAAGACATCATTGTTGCAGACAATTTTAGGATAATAATGTGTAAGGATTTAGTGCACTAAAATAACGAAAATTGCACTAATAAATTAAAAACAATGTTTTGTTATAAATGTTTTTAATTTATGAGAAACAAAATTTCAAAATTGATTTCAACCTTCTCTTTTCTTATGAATAATATTGAAAATCTACTAACACAATAAATATTTTACATGTAGTTTTAAGTTTTAACAATCCAAACTAATAGGTACCACAAAAATAATTGAATAAAATTAAAAGCGTTTGCCTCTATATTTTTATACTCGAACATTCTTCAATTTGTAGACAGTAAGTCAAATCTAAAATAAAGCTAAAAAACAATTGAAAAATTGTTTTATAAATAAGGAAATTCAACAAAATTGATAAAAATCCTAAAATTGCATTTAAAATGTTTAGTTTTTATTTTATATCAACGAGTTTAAAACTTACTTAGCAATAAATTATAAGAGCACAAGAAACTTTAAAATGTAACAACATTAGTTTGTTAACTGACTAAGTGTACTGACACCGGTACAACGGCGACTGCTGTGGCATCTATTTTCAAATGCAATGAGTCAAAACAATTAAATAAAACATTAAAATATTTAATTTACAATCTTCAACGTTGCAACTGTATATACAATAAAAGACTTGTTAGGTACATTTTGTATATAATTTTATTTCTTTAATATACATAAGGTACAAACAGGGAAATGCATTTATAAATAAAATAACACTTTTTAAAATATTGTAGGTATGTACAATTATACACCGAAGACTGCAAACTATAATCTCATTATTCTTTAACCAATAACTCTATATTATGTTACCGGCAATATGGATAATTCAGGTATTTTGTAAAATGTATTAATAATTTAGGTATTATGTATACTGCCGACCCACTTTAGGCAATGTAAATAAAACACGATTTTCAATATTATTTTATACATAACCTTAACCTGTTATGTAAAATAAAAAAATCTTTTAGGCTAACTAAAAAACAATTTATCATTATATTATGTTATAATAATATATTAAGATTATTATTATTATTATACATAATTACTCATATAACAAAATTTACTTTGGGGGACGAGGTGACCGAGTGGTCTGACTCTTCCGCTGCGACGCAGCCGGTCGCGGTTCGATCCTCGGCCACCGGGCGGCATTTTTTCTCCGGACAAGTCGCGGTGACCGGAGAGCANAGCAAGTGCTGCCATCCCCCACCCCCGGGGCATGGCAGAAACCTACGGGTGCCCCATTCGAAATTCTGCCAAAACAAACACACACGTGTTCCCCCTACCGTTCCAAAAACCTACATTACCTACTAATAGCTAATGGCCACAGTTGCCGGGCTCAGGATCAATTAAAAAAAAAAAAAAAAAATTTACTTTATATCTATTATTGAATTTTTATACATAGGTACAATTGCAATATTATTGTTATATTAGGTACTATTATTTATACATTTACAAGCTACTTATTACAACATATTGTAGAAAAATGAAATTTTGAAATGCACAAAACATTATTTTTAAGGCAAATGCACTTTTTATTTTGACACTGAGTTTTACAATTTACAGACACATTTTAAAAAATCCTTGGCCAGTTCCTGTCGACTGTTTCTTTTGTGACTGTTCGTAACGCCTCTTCTGTGTCTGTTGGAAACTCGTAAATTTGTAGTAGCTTTTTCTGACATACTGTGAACGGACTTCTGCCGTATAACTGCTTCAGAACTTCAAAATTTTAATCTGTATTGCATCAAATCGTGCACACAAGGACACGATACTCACATTTACGATTCACTATAAGTAAAGTCGTTGATAATAGGCGATTCACAATTTTGTTTGTTTTAATCTTTTTTTTTATCACACGTTGAGCATAATACATAATACCTAGACAAAGCTAGTATTATGTATAATTCCGAGTGATTTTTGGCATTTTATATAATGCCTAGGTATTTTGCAAAATACCGGATTATCCAAATTACCAGTAACATATGCAATAACATGTTTATTAAACAATGTGTATTTTGAGAGCACCGGTTATCAACATTTAAAAAATATATATGAAAAATTCATTTGGATTAAATTAAAGAAAAAAAAAGGAAGAGCAGCACGGGCGCCCGCAGGCAAATGCATTTTAAGAATTAAAAAAAAAACAACAAAAAATAAGAATAATGTACATTAGGAACAAACTATGAAGACACAATCTGAAAAGTGAAAATAACCTGAAAATCAAGTAGTTATTAAAGTAGCAAATGATTAATCAAATATCTCATTGATTTAAAAATATGTATAAAATAATGAAACTTAATTATATTAATGAAATAATTGAAAATAAATAAGTATAGTATATAGTGTTATAATTCATTGTGTTGAGTTTTTATTTTGGGAATAATTATCCATTTTTTCAAAATATTTGTTTTTCAAATTTTGATGTCTTTATCTTACGTACAATTTTACTTTTTTAAACCATCTCAAAGAAAATTGATGGCAACCTTGAATGCCAAATTGGCTCATCAGTTTTATGATTCAGGGTGTTAGGTTTTTTTATTTTGGGCCTAAATATCCAGCAACCATCGGGTCACATATTCGCTTCTCTAGAACGCAATAACAAT